GGGCGGACAGAGACGGACGGAGACAGACATACGGACGGAGACACGTTTTGTAATCATTTGATTTTTCGGTATTGAGGACAAAACATAGATTCTGGCAAGAATACGTGTTGGAGGAATGCTTTTCTAAATTTAGCAACTAGATTTATCCACCTTTTCGTTACCACGGACCTGTAATAAGGAGTTTTCCTGCCGAAAATTCGTCGTATTTTCGGGCAGCATTACATAACTTCGCCTGTACTCTGTAGCGAAAAAGTGAAACGAAAAGAGAAAATTTTAATTCATTCTCTACTCTTGAATGACTAATGAACAAATTTGCATGATGCAAAATTAAATATAATTAATTCATAGTAAATATACAAGGAAAACTTGAATGGAAGATTAACACAAGCTAGAAGAGAGAACGCAATATTCACAGAAGCTATGAAAATACTGCCTTTACCATGAAATCTTACAGTAGCAATTGCACAATACAGTGGTAACCGCAATCATAATTGTACCTCAGAAATACAAATCATGCATTGAACTGTGAGTTAATGGAATTCAGACCCATTAAAAGGAGAAAAACTACAGAAATAACAAAAGGGCAACAAACTTTTTAGACTCCAGTAACAACTTAGATTCATTGATTGTTAGTGATTCTAGGCACATCAACTACTAAGGTCATTAGTCCCGTAAGGTAGGTAGGAGGCAGTTGTCTTTCCCTACTATATGGTGAGAACTGACGCCGAGCTTCCGTCAGCTAGTGAGGTTTTCCCCAGACAGGTATCTTCCACCAGCAAGGCACCACCCCAGCCGGGACAGCTCTAAGCTCCTGACCAATCTCCTGATGGGTGGCAGTTCAGTGCATGATAGGGTACATGTTTGTACAGGGTGAGGATAGCAGAAGGAAAACATAGGAAAGATCACACTTGGTCCGTAGCCCGTTTATTAAGGTATTGCAGCAGCATTCACCTGCTATTGATCGAAGAAACAAAGGAAAACTAATGATCAGAGCAACTAGAATTCCCCTCCAGACAGTGACTGAATTCAACCTAGCTTACAAGGTAGTGTCAAAAACCCTGCCACCGACAGGGCTTGAACCTAGAACCTGTGAGTCAAATGGACTGCAATAACATCAGTTGATGCCCTGAGCCATCTTTCCAGGTATAACAACTTAGAATATTAGTAAAAATTTGTTAAATAATAAAAATTTAAAAATCCATTTGATTTGATTTTCTGAAAGTTAGTACTGTAAAGCTGCAACATTAAATTAATATTGCATTACCTGTAGCAGCCATATGTTCACTGGTTCGAATAGGCTGGAATCCCACAAAAGGTATCTGCATGCTAAGCAAGAGACCTAAAGTGTAAAAAGTACTGTAACTAACAACCAATCTTTGAGAAAATCGACCCATTAATAGCAATACAAAAACATGAAGAGGAATTAAATTTATGATGAATACATAACCACCCCATGCTGAAACCTGCAAGAAAAAAAAAGTTTTAATCCACAATCAATGATATTTTACACAATACTTGCAAAGATAATTTATATACAAATTATGTAATTACGTAATATTTACCATATAAAAATAAGATAGAGCTGTCATACAGGCCCAAAATATAGAGCCAGTTTTAACTGCTTTCACCTGTAAAATAAGTCATGACTCATGAGTATGATGAATGTTTAATTTAGCTTTCATTGTTAAGTTAATCATTTTTTAATAACAGTATTGATTAGTTTTATAATTCAAAAAAAGCTTTTTGACATTGGATTCATGTTGAGCAAGCTGAAAAATTACAATATACACAACTTCATGTCAATACATAGGAAAATAATAATGTTACCTTTGAAAGTCTCAAAAAGTATAATTTCCTGTGATAAATCCCCATTTAAATTTCAGCTCCACAGGCCCACAAGTTAATATTATCCAAATGAGCTTAAATTATGAACTGCTGAGTTTTTTGCATTCAGAACCAACCAATGGGTGGAGTGCAAGAAAATTCTAACTTCTGTTCTTTAACAACCACCTTAACCCATGCATGGTATTGCAAATACAGAAGAAAATGTACATGATTCAAGCTATGCTTTTGACAAGATACACTGAATACCATAGCATACTTTCTCTAAAACAGCCGACTTCACCAGCTCATTGTACATTGAAACGTACATACCTGCCCTAGATATGGCCTAATATCCTTAGCAAGTATGTTGTTCATTATCCACTTTTAGTTTATAAAACAAAAATTGCGCTAATAATCATAGTAATATAATTTAATTATATTATATTTATTATTATAATAGTAATTATCACAAATTGTGTTTAACTGTTCAAAGAATTGACTGCCCCAGCAATTCTTTGAATAGTCGATCATTATTTGTAACTTTACTTCTGTGAAGTATATATGGGGTCACAACAGTTAGTTGGTGATTGCAAAGTATGAAACATATTCCTACGCTATTGTTAAACTTAGAATTGTGACCTGCTGGTAAAATTATAATCATAATTATTATTGCTTTTTCATATTTTTGTCAAAACTTGAAGGTGGAATTGTATGTATTCATGAAAAATCAGGTGTCCATAATATTTTTTCCCCCCATTTTCTTTCTTATGCCTCACACAGCATCACACATTGAAAGTGGTCATTAATGACCAACGATTAATTTACATATATTCCTAAATCTAGGTTGAAAGAGGGCATTACAATTTATAGCGAACTAAGTAATGATATTAAAGACAAACACAATTCATACATTTAAAAGAAAAATTGAAAGCTTTCCTGCATAACAACATGTTCTACAGTGTAAAGGAATTTTCAAATTACAACATTTCCCTTAAAAATATAAATAAAGAAGAATTTCTTATCTTATTAGACTTTCTGTTTCGTGTAAACTGTTTCGAGCTGAAGCAAAGGAAAAAAAACTGGCATATCGCATCCTGTGAAATAGAAGGAGAATGCCTGATAACAAAAAAAATTCTGTTTCTCTCTGGACTACGTGTACAAATTGAAAGAAGAAAAAAAAAAATGGTCAAAACTTGCCTCCTTACCATTTCAAGTTTTAAAAATAGAATATACTACTATTATTAAATTTTAGCTAGTTGCTAACAGAATTGATATGCATTGTTCCAATATTATTATTATTAATCTCCTTCTTCTTCTTCATCCTCGTCTCCTTCTTCTTCGTCCCCGTCTTCTTCTTCGTCCTCGTCTCCTTCTTCTTCTTCGTCCTCGTCTTCCTCTTCTTCTTCGTCCTCGTCTTCCTCTTCTTCTTCGTCCTCGTCTTCCTCTTCTTCGTCCTCGTCTTCCTCTTCTTCTTCCTCCTTCTGATAGGTGAAGTTGTTTTGTTTTTTCGTATCAGCTCGGTTTTCAGCTCCGTATGTCAAAATTAGTCTTGTAGATTTTAACTTTACCTTCTATGCTAAGGTATTTATTTTTCCAAGTTACATCTCTTAAGTATCCTGATACGCGAGCACCTTTCATGGGCTCTTCCCTAGCTTCTTTGCATGTATGGCGAGCACTGGAGATGTCCACTCCCAGGTATGGGAACTTCATCACTTGCTCTATGACTTTGTCTTCTATTTCCAGCTTACATCTTACAGGCACCTTGAATACTATCATCGATTTTTTTTTTTAACTATCATATTAAACAATGTTCCTGTCATTATGAATTTATAAAATAGTCTCTGCAGATTATCTTGAATCTACTATAAGCACTGTCTCATCTGTGTTTATCTGGTTGTTACCCATCCAAACTAAGTTTATCTGCTTGTTACCCATCATGTATTCCACCCACATATTCTATTTTATCTGTAGTTAGGTCTCCTACTTTTACTTTAGTTTTCGCGTCTGTATATATAGCTTCAATGGTTTCTGTCTGTCTCTGTCTCTCTCTCTTTTTTTTGCCAGTAGTTTATTCCTCAAAATTGTGAACACGAAATCAATCAAATGCCTTCTGAAGGTCTACAAAACACAAGAAGGCAATCTTATTATATTCTATCGCTTTCCCGACTATTTGACGGACTATAAATACAGCGTCTGTTGATTTATTTGGGTGGAATTCTTGCTGTTCCTCATTGATTTTCGAAGTATGGTTGTAATTTTGTTAGTATTACTTTCATCCAGTAATTTTAATATGTACTCAGTAGGGTTATACCTCTGTAGCTGATAGGTCATTTCTCTTCTCTTTTTTTAAAGATCGGTACCGTAATACTGATTTTCCAATCTCGTGGCATATATCAGAGTTCTAATATTTTATTAAGAATACTTGTAGCTGATTTTTTAATTTCTCGCCTCCATACTTCAACATCCCGTTAAGTATTTCATCTTGATCCGCGGCTTTCCTATGCTTTAAGGTTTTCATTGCAACATACATCATTCTATGTAATGTCAACTACATCATCCCTCTTGTCACCCATATTTAGATTTGGATTTTCTTGGATTTCATTCCTTGTCTCCTGATATAACTGTTGAAAATACTTTCTGCACGAGGACATTTTCATCGTATTTATTTTTACAACTTTGTTTTATATTTCAGCTTTTCTAATCCTTAACATCTTCCAAATTTTCTTTTGACCCCCATTCATGTCTTTCTCCATATCCTTTGTGAATACTCCTATAATAGTGATGTGTATTGTTTCAGTTCTAGAATTACGGAACTGAGTAATTAAGAAAATGCGAAACATGTTTTTTTTTCGGGCTACGAATGACAACGGATAAGAAGACAATGACGTCTATCGGAAAAGTTGGTCAAGAGTAGAAAGAATAGAAAATCAAAGCGAGAAAGTCTATGCCATTCTATAGCACCAGTAGTTTTTTCCTTATTTAATTTTGAATAACAAATTGTCTAACGCAAAATCTCTATCTTCAAATTTGTAGTTTTAAAATGTTTTTGCAATGTACAAAAAAACTAGCAATATCCAAAAATGGGATGTTTCTTACGGTTTCTTATTACATATGTGAAGAAAAATTAATGAAGAATTTTGAGAAAAAAAATTTTTTTGTAAATTTCAAGCCCACATTTTGCAAAAACTACAAGTTTTTTTTTTCAAAAAATTGAACATGACCTCTTCGAAAAAGGGAATTTTTTACAAGTCTTTGTCTGAGCCCAAAATGTCTATCTTTAATTTTGTACTTTTAAAAATTATTTTTGGAATTTTCGAATAATTGGGGATATCACTGAATATGAGACATGCATCATTTCTTTAAACGTCTTTTGCACTATTGAACAACAAAATTTGGAGCCACTTTTTTTAAATTTTGAAAATGTCTGTGGGCTTCATGATAAGAATCCCCTCCCACAAATTAAAAATTGGTTTCAACCTACAGGGGCCTACATCAGCCAGATCATTTGGGGAATATCAAGTTTGGAGGAAATCAGCTGAACAGTTTAGCCGTTAGCGTTAATCACAGAGGACGTTTTGGCGTCAATCGATTTTTCAGTATCAGGAACCAACAAAATATGGATTCTGGCTACACCACAAGTTAGAGGATTTTTTCTCCCCTAAATTTACAAACAGGATTAATCCGTTTTTCGTTACCAGAGCCCGGTAATAAGGTTTTTTCTGGTGAAAGTTTGGCGTTTTCTGGCGCACAATAACATAATTTTCTCTTCTTATGAAGAATTTGTAAGGCAAAGAAGAAAAAATTGGAATCAAATTGGACTTTAGGCAAGAAGGACAAGTGATAGTGCAACTTTTAGATCCATTGACACAAACACGTACTTTCTTTATGGATTTCAGAAATGCATCTAATAAGAATTCTTTTGTTCCAAGAAAATAAGATTTCATATAAATGGATTTCATGAATGTAATTGTATATAACCCTAGGCAAGAAATTCTTACATAAAATGTTTCTACTGCTCTTTTCATTAGTTTATACATCACAATTATTTCACGTTTCTTCGAAAATTATTCAAAAGAATCTTCATCTTGCATTCTGGAAGCTGTAGAAACTATATTATTGGTTTTGGGTTCAAAAAATAATTACTTGTCTTATAAGACAGTATCTTGCTTGGAAATACCCTTCACCACTAATGAGAGCAAAATTATTCATTGCCTTTGGTAAAACCACTGAAAGGAGCAAATGGCTTTGGGCAAGTTTCTCTCAAAAAGACATATTGCACAATGACTTAAGATCCCACTGGTAACAACCAACTTGATTAAGGTCAAGGCTCAGAAGTACAAAACAAAAAGGTTACAGGGTGAGGAAAGTTCATTCACAATTAGTATTCTAGGGTTAAGATTTGTTTGCAAATTAATATTTTGTTTTGTATCAACAGCTAATAAGTTTGACCCAGCAGCCAATAGAGCATTTTATCTGCAGTGTAGTTCATTGGTTTTGCAATGAACCTCCCATCACAGTTTAACATGTAATGTCATATTTTAGTATTTGGTAGGGTTTGTAATAGGTACTTGAACACCATTTATATAAGCGAAGGACTGCTTAAAATTCTCTTCTTGGTGAAGTTTATAAAACAGATTTTGACTCTTGATTCAGTTTTATTTTTCTCCTTGTCCAAGAGTAAATCTTAACACATGCGTTTTGAAGTAGCTTGAATAATAATCATTACATGCAATGCTTAATCATATCTATATTACCATTGGAAACAATAGCACTACAAAAGTCCACATACTACTCGCTGAATAGTATTTCTCAATAAACTGCAATTGCAAGTAGTCTTTCCTGCTACATCATTTTAATACAATTTGAAAGAAAAGTCTTTTTAAATCTGGTAATATTATTATCTATCTTTAAATAAATATATCGTAAAAAATGGGATACATTGGCACATTTTAAAAGATGAATACATGTCCATACATGATATCAAGTAGATTGTTTGAGGATCATACTGAACAAGCAATTCCACAAAGCCTCACAATAGTTAAGCAAGTCTACTTTAATGCAGGTACATTAATTGCCACTAAATTTGAGACAAAGCAACCAGTTTTACAGTATTTACGAATTCTATAAAGTTCTTATGCATTTGTAACCTTTAGCTTCACTGACTATTTCATCCATTTTCCATTGATTCATGGAGTAAATTTTGGGATGATCCCTTTCTTTACTTTTGAAAGCTTTATGAAGCCTTTCTCCCCCACAAAAACTTTTCATTAGGTCTTTAACCAACATTAAAAAAAAACTCGCTCTTCGTCTAATATTCGGATCAATTGGAGGACATACCCAAACACAAAGGATTAATGAAAATGGATCCCCATTCTTACTATTAAATTCATCACCGAGAATTAATATATTACTAAATACTCACCCATAAGAAATAAGTGAATTGAAGAGCAAATATTGCAATTCCTTCATTGTCATAACTTCCAGCAACGGAGCGACTGATATACCCTGGTACAATTGCAATGAAACATGCAGCAAAGAGACCGGCACCAGGAGACCACAGTTCTTTTGTCAAGAAATATGTTGCAATTGCTGTGAATCCACTGAAATGTAATGTCTGGGTATAACCTTACTGGTGAATGATGCATTGAATAAAATGAAACAGTAATGAGGAAAACACAAACCTAAAAATTGGAGCAAGGAAGACACATATATCTCTTATATGCACAGGAATATTTAATGCCCGCAACACATAGTGAATACTGCCTGATGTTATCATCAATCCAGGGTAAACTGTACCTCCCACAATGCGTCCCAACGGATACCATGCCCTTTCATCAAACCAATTAAGGAAACTGTAGAAACCATTTTCCACCATATAAGCAGTGGACCGAAAATTAAACCTAATACACAAATGGTGTTTTAAAAATCTCTTTCAACTCAAACACTTCTACATAGGTAATACTACACTGTGGTTTTCTTACCACGGATCGAATTCGTGAATAATGCTTTCAAATCTAATTACTGCAAACAATCTTGATGAAAAACCACATATCCACGCCAGCAAAAGGACAGTGAAAACAATTAGGCTCTCCCAACCTGATGAATCCGCAATAGCTGATCTAAACCCCGAATTTGTCATCTTCAACAATATTCTATTGTCATTTCAAGCTATAATACACGTCACAATTTCCGTTCTCCCTCATTCATACTAAACTAAAGCAAACCACACAAAAAAACGTATAAAGCACATGCATATACACACGGCTTTTTCAAGTACACTTAAAAAGTTCAAAAGCTCACTCAACGCTGTAAAATGTAACGAAACATACAGACTGACATGTGCCTTCCGGCTTCCCTGACATCCGTGTGCACCCAAGAGCGACACTCATTTAACGTAGAAAAGTAACTTCTAAGGCGTTAATTTACAATATCCTCCCAGATGAATCTATACTATCATAACATATCTTCCCTTGTAATTGCCACTTTATTATCGACTTCGACAACAGACACAACTTCGTACGTTCTCCATTCCATTCACTCAAAATCCTGACCAGCGCCAACCCAACCAGTGGCCTCGTCTCGTCCAGGTCTCGCCTCACACTCCAAATTACATCACAATCGTTCTAACAATGGTTCTGACGTGTTCGGTATCGTTCTGTACAGTACGATTTATTTAGTTGTGCACTTGACGTATATCAGCTGTTGTGGTTTCATCCAATATCCAGCTTATATGTCGCTATAGTGACATCACTAGGGGGATGTTGAAGCTCTCGATTGGATACAACTGTGAACAGCTGCTTTACTTCAAATGCATGGTTAAATAAATCTTAGTGTACTTCAGTGTACTCCTCATCAGTATACCACCATCCGCACACCACCTGATCATCAGTAATACACTCGTTTATTCATAGAGGGCAGCAAAGTCCCCTTTTTTGTTGTCATTTCTGGCCATTTCACATGCCGGGAAACTTAAAACGGACTTACTTTCGAACCAAAACAATTTCTTTTCTGAACATACTAGGAAATACAGACATTCCTTAAAACACTTATGTTAATAATGTAATAAGTTAGAAAACAAAAAGTAATATTTAGCATATTTTCTCTTATGAAGAATTGGGTGATTCTTTCTGCGCATGTTGCTTAAAGACCGTCCCACATCTTACTTGGACTTCCAATATTTCTTTTTCCATATACGTTGGACTCAAGAACTGAATTTGTAAGTCATTTTTCCATAATAAACAACAACAACAATAATAATAATAATAATAATAATAATAATAATAATAATAATAATAATAATAATAATTTAAAGTATTTTCAAGCTATAATACACGTCACAATTTCCATTTTCCCATAATTATATTATTATTATCATTATTATTACTATTATTATTTTTGTTGATGTACAATTCACATGGATGAAATATGGGATGTAGTTCACAGAATTGGTCAATTATGAACAATGAAACAATTACTGTGTCAACGTTTCGGAATTTTTAATTATTTCATCAGGGCTTACTAATATATAAAAAGGTCAAGCCTCACATCCAGCCTCCAAACCTACTCCGATATGGAGTTGCTGCAGCACAAGGGTCCATCCCGAGAGAAGCCTGAAATCGGCCACGGCCCGATGTAAATGTCATTATTTCCCTTATAATTTTATATTCCCTTGCAGAATTCTTGATGCATTTTTGAAATTAATTTCGGATACCTATGTACTATTTAGGATGTTCTTTGCGGAAACAGGGAATCTCGTTGAATGGAGCGGAAGAGATAGCTCAGGGAATCAATTGGAGGGCATCAACTGATGTCACTTCAGTCCCTTTGGGCCTGGAGGTCCTAGGTTCGAGTCCCGATGGTGGCAGAATTTTCGACACTTGTTCGTCAGCTAGGTCGAATTTAGTCACTGGCCGGAGGAGAATTCTAGCAGCGAGCTGCTCTGATCGGTAGTCTTCTGTGGTTTCTCCAATCAACGCTAGGTGAATGCCGCAGCAGTACCCTGACAAATGGGCCACGGACCGCGCGCGATATTTCCTACGTCTTTCTTGTCCTATCCTCGCCCCTTACACACTACCATACATGCCGGGAAACCGGCCTAGTAGTTGATGCGTTCGGAATCATTAACAATTAATCAATTATTCTTGAATGGCGTGATAAAGAAGAACTATATTAAATCAAAAGGGCTTCCACGCATATAATATCATTTGAAGGTATCTCACCTAACACCCCCTACCATCATCCTAGTCCTTTCATCACATAATAATAATAAAGTAATAATCTAGCACAAATACTGTGGGACAACACAATTATAACTGACAGGTCTGTTGAAGCAAACAGACCAGACATAGTTTTATTTGATAAAATACCCAGAATCACTACGATTATTCATGTTGCAGTTCCTACAAATGACAACCTTGTGCCAACTGTTGCTGAGAAGAAATGAAAATACCAGCCACTAGCTAGTTGAAGGATATGTACAAATTGCAGCGTGGAGATCAGCAAATGGTGTATTTACGAAGGATTGGCAGAAGACTGGAAAAACTCTGAGCCTACGGGAAAAACATCTCAGAACTATGCAAAAGGCTGCTTTATGGCAAACAGCACCAGAAAGTTTTTGTGCTTTGAATGAGGTGGATGAAGGTCCAAGGAAGCAAAGACCACCAAACCCATCATTAATGAAGGACTATACAAACGTTGTTTAGAACTCTGTATGAGGAAACTCTTCATGGTAGCAACTCCATATTTTTGTAGACAAGTTGTCTTGAGCAGGAAATCTCAAGACACTCATTTCCTGAGAAGTAGAGGAGTAATAAATAATAATTCAACTGATTCAACACAAACGATTATTCAACTGAGGTACTAAGTAAATAGAATTTAACAACTGACACGGTGAAACTGTTCATTCACACAGCTTTATACAAACCGTCTGGATTATGTGCGAATTATCCGGATAATTCACGAATTCTCCATATTGCGGACCTAAGCTGTAACATAGTACATATACACAGAAATTTTGGTTTCACGTTATTAGCAATGCATCTAGGTTTTCTGGAGGAGGAGGAGGAGGAGGAAGGCGGGCTGGGCAGAGGGAGCAAATGTGGACGGGTTGAGAGTGGACGGTGATAGCGAGCATGGTGGGGTTGGCGGGGAGGCATTGCATACTAGGTTAAGAGGAGCGGAAGCGGAAAAGGGCGTGGCGATGTCTTATACAATCATAAGTCATATGAAAATTACTTTCTTTTCTAACAAAAGATAGAATTCTCCCCTTTTTGTATTAAATTGGCGATTACGAGAAACGTCCTCGCAGAGCTGGATTATTTCAGCTAGTAGATTACTTGCAAATAAGATCAGAAGGAATGGCAATCTTAAGGTTATCGACAGTTACTGAATCTTGCAGCCTCGTGCTATTAAGTCGGAATTTTCGTTGTGTATCAGCCTTTTTTGTAAAGAAATCCAAATTTATTGAATCCTTTTACCCAGACTTTCAGATACAATAGTTTTATCTAATCAATTGTGATTTTACACAGAATTACCCAATATTTGCGGAGAACAATTGACTGATGAACGCGTTACCTAGCGGAGAAAGGATAAAATTTGTACAAATCAACATCAATCAACATTCGCTCGCTAGTCGGGTTTGAAACATGACGTCATTGTACCACGTGTTGCACGTGTCGTGTGGTGTTGCGCGTGTGCTTTGGTGTGTGTGGAAGTAACGTGGACACTTCAAAATTTTGAATATCTCCAACCACACCAATTATATATCAAAAGTGGCGAACTTGTAAATGATTGAAAAGAAAATATGAAGGTTAAGAATCAATATAAAGGGAGGGGAAATAAAGGCAAGAAAGCTGCACCTGTAAAAAAGAGCCGGAAAGAGTTACGAAAGGAAAAGAGAAATGCGAAGAAACAACATAGACGAGATTATTATTCTCGTCGTTTTAAACCCGGACAGCAGAATTTAACGGACGCCCATGAAAACAATTCTTTAGGGGGTGGCAAGGTGCAAAATGTGTACAAACAATCTGATGAGGGTTATGATCATCAAGCACGTCAAAACGTTGAATCAGACGGAGTTGAATCAAGGCATTTTGGAAGTCATGAGAAACATCAGGAAAATGATGCCCCCAAAAGTCGGCTAAAGCATAAAATTAAGAAATATCAAGATCCGTTAATCGCAAGGAAGATGCAAGAGGCAGCTACTCACCAGGAATTACAGAAAGCAATGCGTGATTCTCGCAAACAGCAGCTAAATGATGCAAATGAAGAAGAGGAGAGACTTATTAAAAGATTAGAAAAGCAACTTAAGTTGTCCAAGCGTAAAAGTAAAACTGTACCAAAGTCATTTGCAGATGATGGTTTAGATTGTATCCTTTTCACTTTATAAACATGAAGTTCGTCTTGAAAGTGCCTTATTCAGAATATTATTTGTGTGAGTACTTGAGATTTGGTGTAATGTATATCTGACAGACATTCTCTTATAACAATATTGGGGTGACAGTACAGTTTCAAATATTCAGTTTTTGTAAGGTGTGAAACCACATGATTTTGTTGAATTTTCAAAACAGCCATATAGTTTGAAAATTTATCCAAGGAATTCATTATCTGAATTAAATATAAGTTAATTGTTTGCCAATGACATGTATTAACATCTTTTGAATTGTTTTTTCTTAAGATCATTCTTTGTAGTTTAAACATTGATCTATTTGTGGCAATCTCATGAGGAGTTTAAAGTAATTAGTATTTGAATATGTGTAACAATAAGGACAAATTGGGTACATAAAGGTCAGATGCAGCCTTTGATGAAGGTTTTTGTTATCTGCAGTTATAGGCTTACCTGTAGTATTCTGTCATTTTAACCATTGTGGTTATAACTTCAAAATTATTCTGCTGTGGTATGTAAACAGTCATATCCATTGGGAGAATATAGTTGTTAACTCTGAATCTTCAAAGGAAATGGAAGAAACAGAAGGTCAGTTACTGATGCACATCACTTGAAATTAATGGGTTGAACTTTTAATAATCAATTAATAAATTAGATTAATATTAATAATTTTGTGAATGTTCATTACTGCTTCTGTGTATTTCCTATCATTGTATTTCGCTTTTAATTTTCTAAACAATAGTTCTTTCAAAGAGCAAAATGTTTTAAATTCATAATTAAATATCATACTTGCATTTTTTAACAATATTGCCTGTAAAATAACTCAACATGAAAGTAGATTGTGTGACATATATTGCATAATGTTTGGTTTGTTTAAATTCTGCTTATAAAACGGTCCATAACTTATATGAGAATGACCTCTGCACAAAGACTGTGTGTTATTATAGGATAAAGCGAGATAGGTCTGCATATATCTATTATTATTATTATTATTATTATTATTATTATTATTATTATTATTTGGTTTGACATATACTATTGATTTTCTAGCTAAAATTTCTTTCAGGAACAATAATTTCCTCAACAATTTTTTCAGATCTTCTTGACATTTGTGATAGTGATAAAATAAAAGATGTTGCCAATCTTGAAAACACTTATAGGAATTCAGACTCTGAGTTGGAAGAAGATTTAGCTTTGGCTTCAGGGAAAAAATCTTCTGCAATGCAAATTGATGATGATAATTTTGTGCGACCAGGAACAAGTGGGTTGAATAGTAAACAACGAAATTCAAGTGGTGCAAGTGATAATGGGGTTAATGCCTCAGGCTATGAAAGTGATAGTGATTTTGTTGATAGTGCAGCTGAAAGTGATCGTGATGGAAGTAGTGTGTATGATAGTGGTGACAGTGGAAAGAATGATGATTATGGTGATGAATACTTTGATAGTGATGAAGAACATCTAACAAGTTCTAAAAGAATGCATTACACTTCGGAGAGTAGTGATCACATTGATAATGTAAATGAAAGTATTTCAAAGAAAAGTGTTGGAGAGAACTGTAAAAAAGAATATCCACTGAAAGGTAAGAAAACTAAGAATGTTCGCTTCTTGGAAGATGATGAGGATGATGATGATCATGATGAAGATTCATTGGAGAATGGATTTACCAGAAACAGTAGCAGGAAGTCAGCTAAAAGAATGAAAACATCCCAAAGAGGAAAACATACAAGTGATGGGAAAAAATTAAAAGAAAGCAAGGAAAATATTGGACAACCTGGTAAATATGTCCGCATGCACCATTCAGATGAAAGTGATGCTAGTGGAGATGATGAAACAAATGCTTCAGACATTGAAGATTCTGCCTCAGAAGAAGGAAAGAAAGGTCTTTGGGAAGATATTTATGGCAGAATGAGAGATAAGGCTGGTAATGTTGTCCAAGTAAGTATTGTAACATAGTTAATCAAAAATTACACAATTTGAGTGAGTGTTGTAAAGAAAAAATTTAGATAGACAAAACAGAATTTTAGTTTTTAGGTTTAATATTGTTTGATATTTGGGAGATCATATAATTTTAGAATATCCAATGTCAGTGTATTTCTAAATGAAAGTTCTATTCATCAAAGAAAATATCGAGGTTATTGAGTTATTGCTTTCAGCAGGTGTGAACTGGTTAAATAGAGCAATAAAGAGTGCAAAATGTATAAAAGACAACTGTTTTTACTATTTGCTTTATTTTAGAGTTCATCACAATCTGGCACATACATCCCACCTGCTCTACGGGCTCAACAGTCAGGTGGTGATCCCCAAACGCAGCAACGGTTACAAAGATTGAAGCGTCAAGTGAAGGGTTATTTGAACAGATTAACAGAAAGAAATCTTCCTTCAATTTCAAATGAGGTAATTTGCTTGTAGTTGGTCTGGTTTTTCATTACTGAAAGTAGCAGTAGTGTTATGATAACTGTTGAGTAAATGAGGTCAAGTATTCAAATGGACGTTGACAACCCCTTTTTTACTCTGGAATCATTAGTATATGGATAGTAGAATATTGTTTGCCTATGTGACATGTTGCAAGTGGTAAGTAGATTATGGAAGTATGAGAGAGGTCTCTCTGCATATTTAGCAATATGTTTGTACTCTGCTGCATTGCCTCCTGCCTATATAAGAAAATAGAAACTAAAACGTTGTGATTTTTGTTTTCATTTTTAAGTTCATTGGTAATCAGTTACCTTTTTTTTGGTTAAAATTTAGTATACGGTACACCCGTAGAGAAGCATGGTGGCGGGGCTTAACCCTAATTACTGTACGTGCTCTAATAGAAATGAATAAAACTTACAGATAGGCAATTTTCATGGTTTGCCCTTCATATGCTTTGTTCCCATCGCATTGTAACGCCAATTTGCTTTCAAAGGCAAGTTTTCTCGCTTCGCTCGTCTGGATCCAAGTCACGGCGAGGCTTGGATCTTCGGCCCTCACGTTCCCTGTAAACTTCCTTGAGTCTATCAAATGCATAATTATCAATTAACTTTTATAAGACATCACTTTTCGAGAAAGCCCCCAGAATTCTAACTGCCTAGTTAACGCTGGAACGGTGCGAAGTGTGGGTTTAAACGACTTCCTTAGGTTCTACTGTATACTACATTTCAGCTTTTTTTTTTTTTTTTTGATGGACATAGAACAATATTATTTTACATTAATGACATATTTTGCATGTTATATTTTTTCTATCATATCAAATACTTACTATATTATGCATATTATTATTTTCGCTTCCATTTGGCATTTGTATTTTTGCATTTTCAGTTGGACCTTCTATATAGTAATAACAGTCGCAGTGACATGAACTCCACATTTACAGCTATTCTTATGGAATCAATGGTTTCTACTGTTTTGTCCCTGGAGAGGCTGATAATGGAACATGTTGCATTGATTTCCTGTCTTCATTCTAAAGTGGGGAGTGATGTTGGTTAGTAATTTTGCTTCTTATTTTTAATGACAGAGTTCACATTTCTGTAATTATATTTTTTGTTGAAGGTGCTTATGTACTACAAGCTGTGGCAAAACGATTTGATTCACTCTTTAAAGAAAATCCTGACATTGAAAACAAGGAATTGGATAATGTGATATTGATCATTTGCTACCTTTACCATTTTAAAGTAAGTCATAGTAATTGCTTCTTTATAATTCATAAGACTTTACTGTTTAAAGTTTGAAATCGGTGATTGATTAAAGTTGATTTAATCAGTTTAAGGAAATGGCCTCAAATGAATTTGAAATGTTGCTACAAATACACATTTTATTTTCAATTATTAAACTTTCAGACTTCTTTGCCCCCTTTGAGGTCTGACCCTCTTTGCAAGAGTTTAGCCTTGACAAGTTTAATTGAGTCTAGTGTGATTGTGTCAGCAAGGATAGTATGCAACAACCATGAGGGTTTTGGGGAAGGATAATAGTTTCTTACACTGCTTGATAGCATGTTCAGTGCAATTGTTAGTCACATGATCAGTTTGTTTTTGAATTCAAATTACTCATGGCTTTGCCAGTCATCTTGTGCCCTAATTGATTTGTTTTCCCTTTTGTGTCACAATTGATTGAAGATTGCTTAGATTCGGTTTTAAAGAAGTATTTACATTTAAAAACTGGTTTTTTGCAATTCATTTTTAGTGATTTAGAGTATTACAGCCATATATGTGGAAATATTTTGATACATACATTACAGATATCATTTATACACATAATATTGATTTAATTACCTTATTTTAGAAGTCTAAGCATGAGGCATCACAGATACTCAAACTTTTTAGTATATTTTAAATGATGACTGAAATTGAGTTGTCCTTCTGATGAGAAGGATGGAATCTGCAGGTAGCAGAATGTAAGAAATTCTGGGGATATTGGGTGAGAGGAAATTTGAGCTTTTAGGTATTCTAACAGCAACAAGCCCATGAATTATCCCTTCAGGACACGACAACAATGATGACGATGATGATGATGATAATGACGATGACGATAACCAATGATGGGTTACCACCAAAAATTAAAATTATTTTAAAGACTTTCAAGTATAAAATAGGCAAAATACCAGAAAGGAAACTTACATCAATATGAAAATTAATTTAAGTCTTAAACTTTTCTTTCAAGCAATGGATTCATGAGTTCCATCCTGGTCATCAGTCTGGTTGTCATGAAGTTATGATTACCTAACCCTCATGGTGAGGATAAGACCTATGCCAAAACTAGAAATGCAATATTAAAAACAAACAGTTTTTCATAAATATTTGCACTATGAATTAACATAAAAATTAACATATAATTCAAAGTGATAAGAAAAATAATTTCAGGTCATACTGGGTTAGGATAGGAAAAGGAAATAATGTATAAATTATTATCAACTTCAAGATTTATTTCGTTATTTTATTTAGACTATTGACTGAAACATAAACCTGAAACAATCTTTTCACATATAGAAATTCATGTGTGTATTTTCTGGGAGATTATTCATTGGAACTCACAGCTGGCGGGCACATGTTAACAAACCTTTAGAACCAGTTACTTTATTAAGTGCTTAGGATTCATGCAGGACTGAAACCCTAAGTGCTAAATGCTAAGGAGATCCATGACTGAATCCCATTTGTGCCTTGGTCAAGCATGCAGTGATGTTAAAATTTCATTAGCAGTGCTGCTTGACAGGCTGGACCTATGATAATTCATTCCTGATTGGTTTTTGCTTCTCTTTAACTTTGAAGCACTGACTAACTGTGAATCCCAAAGTAAGATATCCTAAAGTATAATTATGTTGTGCCAATGCATTCGTTTTTTTAATTTAATTGTAATTTTTTTCGAGTACTTATACAAATATGAATGATGTTTCAGGTTGTACATGCCCGTATGCTTTTTGATGTACTGCAGTGTCTGGCTAAAAGATTCAATTCCAAAGATGTGGAATTAATTTTGTTAATGTTACGATCTGTGGGTTTTGGTTTGCGCAAAGATGACCCTGTAGCAATGAAGACTTTGATGATACAATTGCAGGAACTTGCCAATACAAGTATTCAACAATGTAATGAGTAAGTAGAATAATTACCTATGATGGTCTTTTGGCATTTTTGTTGTTTCCAAGAATTTATTATGAAAATGTCTAAAGGACCAACATTTTATTAGAAGCCTGGTTTAGAGATATGTTGCTATTAATTCCAATTTATTATCAATCAATATTCACTCTACTAAAATTTGGATTCTTTTTCTCTTTCTCAAATTTACGTACAAATTTGTCTGTATATTTATATATACCAGTTTGTTCTAGTAACAAGTCAGCTCTCGTGTAAGTTTGATACTTTTGGCAAATTTAACAGTCATTTTTGGAATTGCTCACCTCCAGTGGTTGAGTTAGAGATTACAACATTTGAAAAGAGTTAGAGGAATTACAACGTTAGAAAAGAAAAAATTATAAAAAAGGCACATATTCTTGTGAAGGATGTACATTGCTCACTTGTGGTTGCAATACTATAATCATTGCCTCTTGCAAACACATCGTGAAGTCGAATAGGATTTCTCAATAGACAAATTCTACTTGTAATAGTTTGATAATTCTGCTACACAAAACAGATGTTAGCTTCTTCTCATGAGGAGGTAGCAGACATGAACCCTTTGAGGACTTGAATGCGAGGAGCAGAAATAAGAAAATTTGTTTGTCAGAGTATTAAATTAATACTTCAGCTTGTGATTTGACCTCAGAAAACTAATATCACTTTAGAGAACAGCATAAACATAGAGGAGTTGCAATCTATGTAAAAGAATGTTCACAACTACATTGTCTAAGGTGGCTTTGGACTTCTTTTGTATGGGGTTTTATGTTCAAACTACAGGTATAAGTATTGAATGTTCAAACCTCTTTGAAGTTGCTTTCTATAAATCACCACATAGAAGTCCTGCTGTTTTCCTTGAAAAATTGGAAGATCTTTTGGTATTTCTTAGTAAGGCCATATTGGTAAAATTTAATATTGTGATTTTAATGCAGCTTTTGACATAAACCTGGAAACTGAATTAATATCTGAGGCAATTTAACTCTAACTGGTCAAATAATAAACCTACAAGATTTTCTGCATGCTTAGAGAACACACACACAAATATAAATAGAGATGATATAACAAGTAATTGGCTGATGTCCTCTTCTTTGATCATGCCTCAGTGTGGCTAATGATACATAAATTATAAAGCACAAATAGTTAATCCAATGAGTATATAACCACAGTTACGAGACTTGTGGGTGATGAGACAATAGTTAACTTCCAAAGGCACTTGATGAGTTAATCTGGAAGGATGTACTAATCAATTTTCAGTACTCAATGACTCAGCTGAAAAAAATGTTTGAAAGATTTTTCATTGTTTTTGTAAGTATATTTGAAAAGTGTAAGCCTTAAGGAAAATGTAAAGTCAAGTATAACTCTTACAGAATACCTGTTCCAAGAAACTATAGCTTACTGTTGCTCTCCATGATTAGCAGATATGAAAGATGGAATAATGCATTACTCTGTGTTGTTTAAATCAGGCAAGATGGAGCATGCAAGACTAATTTATTTGCAGATGAGGACACAATATAAACTAGTATGTAAAAAACAAAGCCAAAAACAGCCCAACTATAAAAGCATTGTCACATCAAATAATAAATGCAAGAAGGCATGGTCTATAATAAATAGTGTAACTAAGAGTTCCAAAACCAAGCATGATATAATATATTGATGATATATAATGATTCAACCCAACCAATTTAATGATTATTTCATCAACTCTGTAGAAGAAATCTGCAACAACATTACATACCGATACATAACTATCTGAAACTTCTCTTAAGCTAACAAGGCAAATTGTGGTCACAGTGGTCTTTTGCATTCTCTGAAGTATCTCCTCAGGTAATATTGGATACAGTGAGGAAAATTAAGTCTTCCCTACTCTGCCAATATATACAGCATATCTAGCAATCTTCTTAAGAAAATTGTTGACTGTACAGCAGAGCCATTCTTCTTTTCTATAATCCAAGTTTCAGGGGAAGGGATCTACCCAAACCCAGTAAAATTATCACAGGTGATACCAATATATAAAAAGGGAAACATTACCTCTATAACTAGTTGCAGGCCCATATCTTTAATCCCCATAGTTTCAAAACTCCTTGAATCAGTAAACCACTCATAATTATGCACCTTTTCTGGCCATTGTGACATAATCAGTGATGCACCAATTAGGTTCAAAAAAGGTATGTCAACATTGACGCAATCATTTACCTTTTAAGCAAACTAAATTTTCGTAGTTTAAATAGAATGAACTCATAGGATAGTCACGAACTTATAAAATCTTTAGGGCTACAAACAAATTGTCAGTTGGTAATAAGTGATCAAATATAGCAGAACTTAAACAGGGCACTTGGGCACTTGGACTTCAATGGGCACTTGGACCTTTGCTATTTCTACTGATTATTAATGATTTACCTGTTTTTGTACCCACACACTCAAAACTATATGCTGTTGATTTATTAATTCTAATTCAGATCCTTTCCTGCACAATTGAAAATGAGTTATATAACTCCAATTTACACAAAAGTGATAGAAAAACATTGATAATGATCACCCCATAACTATCCTTAACTGCATAGCTAAAACTCTTGAATATATATATATATATATATGATATTATATATATATATATATATATATATATATATATATATAATATATATATATAATCTAAAAATTCTCCTCATTTAATCTTTGTCAATCCTGGCATGTATTTGAAAAAGACAGGAATTCTCAATTGTTACAGAAACGACTTAAACAATCTTGAAACTAGTGGTCTACAGAAATCTCAATGAAATTGTCAATTCTTATTCCATTTGTAGAATAATTTTGACATTGTTGCTAATTATGAGGATCTGAGTGTTATAATAGATACAAAATAAAATTTTAAAAAAATGTATTTCTGACATGATCAGTAATTCTTTAAAAATGTTGGGCTTCTTTATGAGATATACTTAAAGAATTATCCTAAAATTCTCCTCATTTAATCTTTAAAATGAAATAAAATATTTTTAAAAGTTTCACATAAATGGAACTTCAGAAAAAGACGATGTTGTCTACCATGAGACCACCAAAGAACATCATGACAGTAATATACAAATTCAAGAATGGTTAAAATTATTTATTTGATTAGAAAAGTCATTGCAGTGTTAATCAATTGAAATATAAAATTAATTTAATATTTTACAAAGTTTTTTAGAGTCCAATCCAGAAATAGAAATAAGAAACTCCGAACCCAAGGAACAAAAGAAAATAACAAATTCTTGTCACTATCAATATTCTACCTTCACAAATAAACCTCATAAAATTTAGAAATCAATTTGTGTATTTCCCAGTTAGCTTTGAAAATACTCCAAAGCAACCTTACATATAGCATTTCACCAAATGAAACTATTGAACGATCCTGCTTTCATAAAAGCAGATCAAAAACTCATTCATATGCGTTAACGAAATTATAACATATTAGTGTTCTAGGGTTGCAATGCTCTGGGAGAAAGAGAAACGTACATGGTTTTAGTTTTCTCTAATTGTTTGCAGATCAACGGAATTGATCATTATTAAGAGCTTTGTAGCATCTATCACAATCAGGAATACAATAGTGTTGAAACATGCTAGAAGCTGTTCTGGTATTACTTTATGGGAGTTTGCAGTTTATTAAAATATAAAATCAGACATACCAGTATTACAAAATTTGGAAGTTTACCCTTGTCCAGAATAAAAACTTTTCATTTAGTGGAAGATGTCAATGGTTTTCTTTCAAAATAAGAAATTGAAGATATTCTTGTTTGTAGGTAATTTTAGCCAATAGAATGAAGATGTCTTTGTTTGTATATACTTAAATACTTAACTTTTGTTTCTCATTTTTAATTGTGTTGTTTTTCAGTGATATTAATGATTGTATCTGTGACAAATCTGTTCTCCTAGTCTGTGTAACTTAATCTGTATACTAGTCTGTTTAATAAAATGTAACATTTTAAAAACTTTACTTGTGTAGGTCTCGTGTGAAGTTCATGCTTGAAGTGTTGGTGGCAGTTAAAAATAATAACATGGGACGCTTACCTGGATGGGATTCTACTCCTGTTGATAATATGCGTAAAATGTTGCGTGGACTTCTTGCAAGTGGAAATACATCACCAGAACTAAATATTTCTCTTCAAGACTTGCTGCAAGGTGAGCTATCAAGAACATTAAATAATGGATTCTGTTTTGCATACTATTTTTTGTAACAAAATGAATTACGTATTCTCCAGGTGTGGCATTCTATTAGTTTGAGTTACTAAGTCATAGGGGTTATTAGTCAACTTCAAATTTTAACTCTTTGTATATCGTTTTCTTAGTACAGAACCATAGGAATTGGATTTTTTGAAAGTTCATTCTTTAGATCGTATTGATGAAATCAAATAGTTTGACAGAAAATCCATGTTTACAGATTATGTTTTTAATTATTTTTATTTAAGGTTATTAGTGCTTTCAAGTTTGTCTTACTTTGTGTGAAATGTGAAGAAAAGAAAAATGTATTATGTATATGTTGCTTTTATTTTATTTTAATATACTGTGACTAGCTGAATGTGGTGTCCCAACACTTTAAAGTGTTTTAAAAGTACTTTCATACGTTGAAAATTTCTACAAGGCATGTTGTTAATAAAAAGAAACAATTATGCTCTTGTCTTTACCAATTACCAAAAAAGTCTAGTCGCAACTCTTCCTGTCAAATGTTCTTTCAGACTATGGCCACTACTCACCCCAGATTAAAGTCTTTAAGAACCTAGTCCAAACACTCCCGGAAGAGTTCCTCTTAAGAGTACATTCTTTCTGTGTATTATCAGATGGCGTATTATAGAAAATGGATACATTTACAATGTCCCGTTCTAAAACCTAGCATTCCTTTCTTATATATTTATATTAAAACATAATTTCATAGTTGAAATTATCCTAGAAAAGGGGATTATCTCATTAGCATTGTCATATGTGCTTCTCGAAACAAAAGTATCCTAAGGGATCGCAACACTGATAATGACCTTTTTCCTTCCGAGACATCCAAGCCATTTACCACATATTGTAAACAGTGATGTCCATGCAATACATCGAGCAACATGTCATTTATCACCTGGAAGCCATGGTCTGCCTCACTAGTGTCTCATTTGGGTGTCATCACAGCTGCATTGCAAAGCACTGTCTTGGCATGCTGGTGACAATTTCAAGCAAAAGGTTTGAAGGTTGACCAATAAGGAAGAGTGCAAGACCATCTTTCTCATTAATTGTGCACTTTATTCAAGTCTCAATAGGGTGCTTGTTTTTGTCAATAATATCAAGAACAACTTTGTTCCCATTATTTCTTAGTTTCTGACATAGTAAAGCAAATGTGTTATAGTACTTAAAACTGTTATTCTCTCATTCAAAAATACCCAACACCTAATAACTTACAGGTTGTCTTCACTTCAAAAATAAACTGACAAGGAAAATAATTCAGGAAATGTAGTACAAAGCTCTCTAAAATACATCTCATTCAACAAACTAAAGAATTTAACTTGCATTTAACACAGTTATTTATTGCAATTTTATGTCATTATCGTGTCCTAACAACCAAATCTTTATTTCGCACTTGAAAATATTAGAAGATGTATTATGTGTCAGTGAATAGAATTCATTGATAGAAGTACTTTTTAAATATTTTATGTTTCATTACATAATTATGTCTATCTTCAGTCTTATGAATCATGTATTAAGGATTCACATGATGCCCACAGCATCTCATCACTGAAAAGGCCATGAAACAAATGTGTGTGTGTGTGTCTCTCTCTCTCCCTCTCCCTCTCCCTCTCCCTCCCTCTCCCTCTCTCCCTCTCTCCCTCCCTCTCTCCCTCCCTCTCTCTCTCCTCTCTCTCTCTCCCTCTCTCTCCTCACTCTCCTCTCACCCCCTCTCTCCTTCCTCCCCTCCCTCTCTCTCTCTCCCCTCCCTCTCTCTCTCTCCCCCCCTCCCTCATCTCTCTCCCTCTCTCTCTCCCTCTCTCTCCCTCCCTCTCTCTCTCTCTCTTTCTTTCTTTCTTTCTTTTTTTTTTCCGAAGATATTTTCAGAATGTTCTAAAAGGATCTGGCTATAAATAGTGCCATTTTATTCGTCTCATTGAGAGAAATTTTTTGTTATTGATCTCTTCTGTTGGTGCTCCCCAACACCCCAAAAATGCTGTTTACGTACTGAGCATGTTTTTTTAAATAATTCTCTTAGAATGTTCTCATGGGATCTGTAAAAGTCGTCAGTTTCTCATGAGGAGACCGAGATGCATTGAATGACTCTGCTTTGTCTTGATTGGTGAACTGTAAGGGTCTCACAGTGAGTGATGTACAGATAGACGCAGGTTACACGATTACTATATAAGGATATGAATGAATATTTTTGCATAAATCACTACATTATTGTTAAAACTCTCATTGGAGATTCAGCAGGCTTTCTTAGTTCCAATGTTGGAATAATGGGAGCAACTGACCCAGTGATTAACTGTAAAATTAAAATGTAACAGTTTTTACTGGGCAAAGCACAAATCTGTGATTGGATTTTTTTCAGTCTCACTATGTACCAAATCACACTGTTGCAAGATCAAGACAGTATTTTAGAAGGAGATGTAATAACACCTCCAAATAATAATGGTGTGTCTAATATGAAAGATCTGATGAAGATGAAGCAATTATTCAAAGTTTGTCAAGAAGTCAGCTTCTTGCAAACCCCAAGGCAATAGTTAAGAAATTTGATAAGGACAACTGTCTGCAACAAGTCTCATTAGATGATCCTACTATCAAATAGAATGTTATCTGTTGTACCCTCACAATCTGAAATTATGTAAAAAAATAACAATTTGAGTAAAATGGAAAAGAGAATTGGTAGGAAAAACAGATTAGAAACTGGAGAGATAGAGACATAAAATGTAACTAGTGTAGCTATAACAGCTCGATAATTTTTTTTGAGTAATCCTTTGTTACTTTATACATTTATTGGAGTAATCCCAGGTTACTATTAAAGTCTTAGTAGTCAGTATGTCATTGTCCAGAGGACCGCCAGGTAGCACTTCCGCGTATGCGCCTCCCTCATGCGCTCCTGCGCCACTACACAGCGGCCATAATTAGGAAGGTTTTATGAAAGGGATTAGGTTGGACTAGCTCCTATGAAGCAGGCAAACTCGTTTTGTCAGAACAAATTTCACCTGAGATTGTCCAGGAATCAATGGGAATCACATCTGGACCTCCTTGGTGAAAGGCAAGCGACTTCACTCTGAGCCACCGAGCCACATACTGTAGTGCAGAATGATAAATCCTGAAAGATTCTAGCAAAAGAAGTGCAGGAAATCAAATCTGCAATTTCAAAGAAAGCAATAAACTCTAGCTCTAAAGATATTTTACTACACAGCTATAAAGTACTAAATTACTCATATTTTTACAAAAATGCGTGACCTTCATTAAAGAACAGATTTCATTTAACAAAAAAATTTCTGTTATCAAATTTGTACTTTTGCAATGATAATTTTTTGCAAATTTTGAAAACATAGAGAGTTTGCAAAAAATGGGACCAGCATGGTGATCTTTATTTTTCTTTATTACATACAAGAAAAAATGTTAAGAAAAATTTTGGATTTATTTTTCAGAAGTTTTGTATAAATTGATTTAACTTCAAGCAGAAATTTCACGACAACTACTCATTTTTTCAAAAAATTCTACATGACCTGTTTGAAAGATCCAATTTTTTAAAAATAAATTTTGTGTATGACAAAACTCTCTCATTTTTAGTATTGTACTTTTGCAGCATTAATTTTTTGCAATTTTCGAAAATGCTGTTTGCTGAAAGTGTGACTAGCACCACTTTTTGTACTGTCTTTTGATGCATACATGGTGAAAATTTAAAGAAAATATTTGGTGAATATATAGTTTGAGGAATAAATGTTTCAAAATGTTTCTGTAACTTAAAATGTGCCCATGAGATTCATCTTTTATTTCTTTTATCGCCAGTTCAATCAAACCGTTCATTTTCTTTAATTTAAAGTTGAAAATGTGCATTTCTACCCTCTAGAGCAGGGTTTCCAACTGGTGACCCACGAGGCTTTTGTTCTGCATCCTGCAAAAGCTTTTTGAAAACATTTCCAACAAGAAAAGTATGAAAAATGTTTAAAACTCATTCAAAAATGGTATTTATTATAATAGGGAACATCTGAACAAATGAATTGGAAAAAGAATAGTAAACAGCAACTTGTTCAAGGAACAAGAAAGGACATCATAGTTTTTAAAATGTTTAACCAGGAATACTTGAACTTAGAACAATTTAGGCTAAATATTTCTTCATTATTTGGGAACCCTAATTCATGTGAAAACTGAGTGAAGTGGCTCAGCATGTACCTCATGACTGTATTAGGCCCGGGCCCTATCCCTATGCCAGCCCTTCTGACCAGGCTCTTTGTGGTTTCCCTCAATCATCCAGGCGAATGCTGGGATGGTTCTAATGGAAGACCATGAACGCAAACCTGGTGTCACTAACTGAATTCGTTAAATATATGAAGTCATGAAGGTTAAGCAAATTCGAGACCTCACGGGTTCCTGCTTGGGTGATCAACTCGAAACCCTGGGATCATACTGCACCAAGGCTAGTTGCCCTTCAGGGGACATATAATGGCTAAATACAAATACAAAATTCATGGGAAAAAAAATTTTCTTGTATCAACTGTATTAAAAATCAGTATTGAAGTTGACACGAAGATTCTTCCTTCTTGCGTCTTTTGAGATTAGGAATGTGATTTTATAATATTTCCTGTTCAGTTATTATTTGATGAATTGCTAGTATTTTTTTGATAAATGTTATACAAAGTCAAGATAAAACGGTGAGTGTTTGTCATAATAGAGTTGCAAAATATGACATGCATATTCAATGCATATTTCTGTATTTAAAAAATACAGATACATAAATTAAAAGTAAAAATCTAGCATAATTCTGTCTTTTGTTATGCCGTAAGAATTCTGTAGTGTATTACCCGCTTTTTGTACTTATTACACCCTTGTAATGTTCACACCATCAAATCCAAAAGAGCCTTAAAATTTGGAAATAGAGAGGATAATTAATTTAAAATCAGTTTTCAAATTTGAATGAGGTTTGGTAGTGTTTTGTTTTTGGATGTTACTAGCACCCAAATCTCCATCTGCCTCTAGCTCCAATTCATTAGATACTTACCTACAGGGCTGTCGGTGCCTGCAATCGATATAATTATTGCAATTCATTGTAGTCATCCAAAAACAATTCAGGACATTAATTAGTTTTGCAATTTCAAGTGTTATTCTCTTTACCTTGTAGCTATTTATTTACCTTGAAAAAAAGAATAGATTGACATCAGGATAAGGATAAGTGCAGTTGTAATCAGCAGTCGCTTCCAAAGTTCAAAGTATCCTAAAAATTTTCGAAATCTAAGAGTATTTTTATGCTCTTAAAAATCTTCAAGAATCAAATAAATATATATGTATACTTTTTTCCTTTCATTTTAGCGGATGAGAGAGGTAGATGGTGGGTAGTTGGGTCAGCATGGGTTGGCCAAACTCCAGGTGGATCTGAATTACAACCACAACAAAGTAAAAAACCAAAGCCCGTATATAGTGCAAAATTGTTGGAGTTAGCTGAACGAATGCGTATGAATACAGAAGTGCGACGAAATATATTTTGTATACTTATGTCTGCACAGGTAAGTTTATACTGTTTTTTGTTTTCCTCTAGTTTTAGATCCAATAATTTTGCCTTTATTTATGTTGAAACACATTTATTTCTTTATATAATAGCTTGATCTGCATGGAAATTCTTTATTAGTAATGATTATTTGGATACTCCTGTTCAGAACTACTAATAAACATTATTAAAACATTGTCAAATTTGATTGTTGAAAAGAATCCTACCTACAACTATTGGTTCAATGACAACACATACTTTCTTGTATTATTGGTAATGGTTACGTTATTATATTTGTTTATGTATTTTATTATATGTATTTATGTATGCCAATCAGCTTTGTACAATATTTATATATTAAATTATGAAGCTTATTACTAATTAACAATAATAATTATTGAGCAAAATAATAATCGATATATATTTTAATAAATAATATGAAAGAGGACATTGGGGCATCATGTGTCACAAAACTTGGAACATTCAGGAATTGCTTTCATTGAAGATGATTTATTTCATTTTAGCATTTGTACTAATAAAGACATGTGTATTTTAATATTATGTGGTTATAGTCACAAAATAATTAATGGTGGAGAAAAAAAGTTAAAAAAATTAGTTTCAAAGAATGACCCATGATTCCCCATGCTTGGTGCGCCATGAGAAAGTGTCTACCCCTTTTTCATCATGGAGGAGCCTCTGTCATTTTTTAATATAAGGAATTTGACTGACGCAAATAGCATGTGGTCATGGAAATGCACTCCAGAAAAAATTAAGGTAGTAGGGAGTAAATAATTGCCATCAGCGCAGACAACACAGCATGTTGTTACAAGAGTTTCCTTGTCAGCACGATCCACTAGACACAGTTTTTAAACCTTTCTCAGCAATTATCTTTGTTTTAAACTGTTAATGATTTTGTTTCATCTAAATTGAACATGTACAAAGAATCACCTAGTGTGGGTTCTCGCTATAACAATAGTTAATTGTTGAACAAAGGCGGCACATTTTGGTGATTGAATGCTGTGTCACGAGCATGACTACACCCCTCTAGAAACCTTAGGGACAAATTTTTATTTCTTTTGAAAAATTCTGCTAAGCAGCCTACTCCGGCAATTTCTTTTTCTAACCATGAATCTGGACATTTAAAGTTATTTGCAATAGTAGGCTGATAGGCAAGCTTGTGACATTTTTTTATGATAAACCATAAAACATTTTATTGTTTCCCTATATATTATCTCATATGATTTGTAGTGATTATGTATCTATACAAAAAGTTAGAACTTATTGTGACAAATCATTATTTGATTTCTTGATCAGGATTACACTGAAGCCTTCAAGAATCTAATGCAGTTGGGATTGAAGGGCCTACAGACCCGTGAGGTAGTGCATGTCACTTTAGATTGTTGTTTACAAGAAAAAACATACAATCGATTTTATGCTCATGTATTACAATCTTTATGTGAACACAACAGAGTTTACAAGGTATGTTGTATTGTATATTTTGTGAAGAATTGTCACTAATGAAATATTCTTTGTCTTCTTATTTGTTAATAAGCTGGTAATACTTTCTGATCTTAGCATAACATATTACAATAAAACATAATAAAATAAATTATTTGATTCCAATATATTTTGTAGTATTGAATATGTCTACATTCTAGGAAACCTTGCATAATGTAAACAAATTTTGGTTGATAGGACTAGGTTTACCTGAAAGAAAAAAAAAAATAAAGAATCCTGAATGATGTTTTAGTTGCAATTAGTTAATAACCTGACTGGAAGGAATTTCTGTAGTATGTGATGTGTTTTCCCTCTCAAATGAATAGGTTGAATCCTGTCTTAATTTAGATCCAAATTTAGTCAAACTGACACATGTTGAAAAAATAACACCACTTTTTTTGCATCAGGGACCCCCCAATATGTACTTCTATGAAAATCCATGAAAAAAAATGTTTTAAAAAAGCACATTGGTTTTAAAAGAACGTATTGGTTAATTTTGATTCCGAGGGTGAGTGATATGTTCTTCACTGACCAATACATTAGTTTTGGGAGGAGTTGACCAATGATGCATTGACACATTTTTAAATATTCTTGAAGTGTATTAATGATAATTTATGAAAAACTTACTGTTAGTGAAAAACAACTTTCTAAGGATATAACTATCTGTCAAATAATTTACTTCATAAAAAGTAGAGTTTTGACAGGTTAGACTGCTTCAATCTTAGGTTATAGACACTAAATTTGATTTGTCTCTTATAGAAAATATATTCATTTATTTACTCTTGAAACCAATTGTTACACAACACGACCTCATCATCAGACTGAATGATAACATATTTTTTTCAAAATCTCGAAATGTTGTGTAACTATTAGTTTCAAGAGTAAATAAATTAATATGTTTTCTATAAGAGACATATGAAATGTGTTGTCTATAACCTAAAATTGAAGCTGTCTAACCTGTCAAAATACTACGCAAGAAGACAACCAAAGAAGGATACACAAAGATAAACGGTAGAGGTAAATCAGGATAGACACTGATCACTGTAATTTAATGTGTTCTTTTAGATGACACTACAATGTGATTTTTGGAACAAGTTTGAAGAGCTGAGGAGTTTAACAGAGACCCAGTTTGGTAATTTGGTGAAGCTTTTACTGCAGTTATTGACCCAAGGTGTGATTAGCCTTGTTGTTTTCAAGGTAAGTCAACCTAAGTAACTAATAATTATTGTATTATTGGCTATCAATGCCATTGTCTTTATCTCAATTTTTTTCTTCTGTATTGCAGGTAATTGATCTGACTCGACTGGAGAAGCCAATTGTACGACTTTTACGTCAAGTATTGTTGGGTATACTAACTTCTTACTTGCATGAGTGTAATCAAGTCTTTGTTTGGGTGGCTAAGCATCCTAAATATAAGATGTTTGCCCGTAAACTCCATGTATTTCTACAGCAATTTGTATTGAGCCGAATGCCTCCTGATGATCCTCAGAGAGCACTTTTGCAAGAACGTATTGATGGCATCTTCTTGTCACAGGATCTGTGATATATTTATTGTTCACAGAATATTCTATAATATCCATGGCTTGTAAATGTATTCCATGATGTTTAAAACATGTATTAAAACACAGTGTGTGTTAAGTACCTTGATTTGTGACCAAACTTTGAGGTAAAGATATTTAGAAGGTTTTTTTTTGTATACATGTATATATTTGGCAAAATGTTGAGTATATATTTTGTAGGTGATCTCATCTTCATACTTGTACAAGGATATAGTATATTTGCAGGAAGGAGTGAAAACAGAAGTATGGTGAGTGAAATTAATATATTTTCAACTGTAGTTGGACTGGTTATAAAAAAAAATAGAGGCCGCAGTATTACAACAGTTTCTCTTGGCAAATGTAGTGATCTGAGTCAAGGGAGCTTTATGATTGGCTTGGAAACATAATTTATTTAAAAAGTGAGATTAACTTACTTCAATAAGTTCTCTGTTAGCCACTCCTGTTTCGGATAGAACCCGTATAAGTTTAAAATATGTATTATTCTTTCTAAGTTTGGAAAATTGCATTATTCTTTCATATAAATTTCTTTCGTTGTCTCTAAGAATCGATTGCTGAACTAGAGTTTCACTGTATTGTTAATCGGCCTTCAATATATCCCCGTTATTCATATTGTACAAAATTGGACTGATGATTGAGGACAATTGAAATGAAATGCTTTGTTGATATTGCAATGAGGAAGACATTATGTTCATGAATCATGCAGTGTTTTTAATTTCAGGATTTTAAATATTTGCAGTTTTAAATAATTTAATTAGATAAATCTTGTTTTTAAATCCAGGATTGTTAATCATCGTCGTTATCAACATTACTGGCTCACTAACTTGTTTAGAGTTACACTGTATCAAGCCAGTTGTGTGTGTTTGTGTGTGCGCGTGCAGGTTTCTTATCTTATCAGGCTACTAATTCCAAGTCATGTGATCGAACCTGGCATAAGTCAATGGATTTTTTAAAAGCACAAAATATTGATGAAGTGCATGCTGGTGATCATAAGGCATGTAAAAAAAAAATCGTAGAATTGCTTTTGGCTGTTATCCAGCCAAAGTAAATCGTGTGTTAAGTCAAAATCATTATCACATGTTTCAATTTGTATGTTAAGAGAGCAGCTGATGCGGAAACAAGAGCATGCTTAATCTAGCAGTCAAATTGAACATCTAAATTGGCATGTAGTGTCCTTGGACAAAGCAATGGCAAACAACATACCCAAGAACATTTCTGAAAAAGAAACTGGACTTCAGCTGAGATGTAAACCTCCCTTCAGATAGAAGACTCTCCACAAATATTACAAATTTTTCCTACTCATTAAAATACGCTCCCGTTCTTTTGGTATTTAAAAGTTGCAATGGTATCTCACTTCTTTTTTCAGTTATGAAGTTCCCCTGTTCGATACAAATGCAATAAATGATATCATGCAAGAATTTAAGTGAGGTTTCACGTGATAGCTTATAAAGATTGCAAATTCTACACAATATCATTTATTTGAATGAAGCTGTTGCGAAGAGGAATAGATGAATATATCTGGACCTCTTCTTAATATTAAAGTATAATGGAAACATGTTATTAATAGTTTATTAACTGGAAGAATGACCTCTGGATAACAGGTTACTTCCTGAAGAGGAGAAATAACAATCACAAATATTTAGAATTAAAAAATCTGTTGGTATATCATTCTAAGTTTGTGAAGAGAGTTTGTGGTTCTGAGAGAGAAAGGGAGGGAGAGAGAATATCCAAGACTGTACGTTTACCCTATAATAAACATACTTTGCTGTGAAATGATCATTATGGATAACCTCTATTCTTCTTACTGAGAGTTCAATATGTTATATAATGACTTTGGATCTTCATATTCACATATGGCCTATTGTTCTATGTAATCTCATTAATGTGCTATTCAACATTCTTTTTCTAAAATGCCACTTCATCACCCATTATATTTCTTGTATGCCATAGACTTAGTTTTTTGGTTAGATGCCCTTGAATTGAGGATATATAAAAAGGGAATACACTGGATGATCACGTTTTGAGAAAATGACATTTCAAACCTTTTCATACCAATAACTTTTATAGGATACAGTGCTGTACCTAGCCATTCGAGTCATTATCTTTTCAAATTAATAAAGAAAAATAATTGATATTAAAATTATACTCTTTTTTAAGAAGAAGATACTCAGCAATGTTTCTTATACTCCCTTTATTCATAGAGAGAGGGTCATGTTTTCCTGTCGTCATACATACTTCTTACTTAATCACTTCAACTATTATTTAAAAATGATTCACTGATCTTATTAAATGATTCAATAGTATGGAAACACTAAAAAGCAAATAACAACTCAATAATATCTCACTATACATCAACAAAATAACCTAAACTGATTCATGAGCAATTTGTGTGTCATCACTTTGAATCCAAATTCAAAGACATATAAATAAAATTTTGCAGGCTTGTAAAGAAAATAATTGACCTCATCAATTTGTAAATATTTTATGTTCCAAAGAGTCAAAAGTACTTGATCATCTGCGTAAATCAGATGCCATAGTTGTTTATTCCTTGAGTTTGGTACACAATCCCTACTGGATTGCTACTATTCTATAACTACATAATTATTTTTTATGTAATCTAATACAGAGTGAGTCACGGAACTTTTTTTTTCCCCTTCTCTCTCTTTCAAATAGAACAATACATATTTTTTTAGTCTATCATGACAAGTGTAAGAAGGTGAATCCTATGATATACAAGCTGCATTGCAATTACTTCAACCGTTCAAAAATAACAGAATGTGTTACTGTTACTTGACTCACCTGTATATTGAAGAGACATTCAAACAAATCAGATTCTTGCCTTAATTCTAGGCTTATTTTTAGAAGTTGTGATGTCTTACAATCTTTCAACTAAATACACGTTTCGGAATTCTAGTAAATGATTTTAATGGCATTTATCAGATTGTCTAGAATGCCCTAGAACTCAAAAATACTCCATGTATTCTATCTGTCCTCACTCATACACAGTGCAGTAATCCTGGATAAGCATGTTTGTAGAAAGGCTGTATTCTATTCATTTCTGTAATATGTTTCAAAGTGAGAATTGCAACACAACTCCTATCCTAAACAATTCCTTTCCTAAATTCATTCACCTCTTGCTGTAGAATATTCTCCACCTCCTTGTCAAGTTAGAATTTCAAGACTAGAATATAATCTTTGAAGCTGTCACCAGTAAGGAGACCCCAAAATAATTATCAATCTTCTTTCAACTCTTCTCTTAATACTAGTTATTAATGTCTTGTTTCAATCCGCAGGCACCTCATCTTCAGCCAAAGATGCTTCAAGAATTTTAGTAAAGATTGTTTCTTCTAATTTCCAGCATATTTTCATAATTCTATTGGCATGCATCCAAGTTCATAAATGTCCTTATCTTTCCTTTCTGAAGAGATAATTCTAACTCACCCATTGCCATCACTTCTTTAATTTTCTTGTGCAGTGAAACCTGTCTTTAAGCTGTCACTAATGGTTCAGTAGAAAAATTGACATCAGTGAACAAGAGAATGTAACTATTTTATTGTGTGTTTCATGTCTCATATGATTATTAGAAAGTAAAGGATTAATTCAGAATTTACTAAACATTTGATCAAAGTAAATATATCTAATTGCCAATGTGGCATTACATTTAACTTCAATTTTATTTCAGAATTTCGTGTTTGAATACAGGACTGGTGGCTTATGAATATTATAAAAGTCAAATTTTATTAAAACCTGGATTTTCAAAAAATGTAAAAGTTCAACCAGGCCTAATTGAGAAGAATGGGACAATATTCATTATCTAAAGTTGGTCAACCCCAAGAGCTACCAGCCCTTTTCATTTATTTGATAAAAACTTATGTTTAACAAACTGATTTTTTTGCCCTTCAAACATCTACAAAGTTCTAAAACTGACTCATTATGAAATAAGAGAAAAACAAACTAGCTGAAGAAATGTATAAGCAGATATAAAGAATTGTCTCAATGTGCAGACCACATGTTATTATCAGCTTATTGTGGAAAAACAAAATGTGCACTCATTTCTATACATTGTTCCCTCAGGTTCACCGAACATTGGTCTGCATTTCCCCTTTTGCTACCAGTGCTACAGAGAAAGCATTTTTCCTTTTTTGGCTGGCTCATTAAATATACATATATTTAACTTAAATGAATACTCCCTTGTAAATGTAATAAGACCAGATCTAGTCTTTAGTAAGTAAAGTTTCATTCCTTCTTTCATGTCTTCATTAATCTTGTGTTGTCTCTATTAAATA